TGTGTGTGTGTGTGTGTGTGTGTGTGTGTGTGTGTGTGTGTGTGTGTTTGGGTGATAGAGAGACTGTGGACCCTCCACTGGCCCCTAGAGGCAGTAAGGTTAAATATGTGTCATACTGCAAATGTAAGAGAAAAAGACCATTTTACTTACTTGCCCTAGAGCTTTTAAATGTTCTCCGTTTTCTTGATTGGCAGATTGAATTTGTCGCTCACATCTTATTTTCCAGTTTATGCCTTTTCACTGAAAACATACACTACACGCTTGTGATGAAGAAGCTGTTCTACTCCATCAAACACAGCCATGCTGAAGGCACAAATATCATCAGAGCTGCAGGTGCCAAGTGTCATTAAAGTTCTGGTTTACAGAATGCATCATGACAGTGTTTTTCATCTGTAAACTCAGGCAAAGCTCATAGTCCTGGTGACATACAGGCCAAGCCACCCAAAATGTCTTGTTGCAGTGATATCTGTGGAGAAATTCAGGGTGAAGAGGTATGAGATGAACTTTGGCAGAGAGAAAGGCAGAGCAGCCAACAAGAGTGCATCACTATCATTAAACTCAGCCATAAGTGGGACTAAATTGTCACTGCAGCAGAGTTACTCCGCGTTTATTTGACATTAATCACTGAAAATGGGATGAATGTTTCATTTGTCCCTCTCACACTCCCAGCTTTTATTTTTCTCTCTTCCTCCCATGTCTCTTTCTGGTGCTCTCAGAGTAATTGATATAATACGAGCTCTGGCAAGCGTGATCTTCTTTTAATTAAGACCTGCCGTCAGCGCCACCTTTGGAATGATAGTGACTCCAGGCTCTCTTCCTTCCATTTTTCTCACCCTCTGTGAATCATCTCATTTTTTTCACTGTTGCTTCTCCAACTTTGGCTCCCCCATTGTTCCTGTTATCTCACCTCTTTCCTTTAACCCCTCACCTCTTGATCCTCATCATCCACACAGCCATTTACTGCTTCTCTTTTCTTTGTCATATATTTATCTTCTGCCTGTCCAATTCTCTCTCCGGCTCTGCAGTCCCAGCTCCACGATGAGGAGAAGAGAGCCCTTAGCAGAGAAATCATTGTTCTCAACAACCATCTCATGGAGGCGAAGATCACCATTAATAAACTCAGAGAGGACAACGTGAGTGCATTGTTTTCTATGGGCTCCCATTAGCATTCTTTGTACAATGGCAAAATGCGCACATGTGCAGAAAGGCTGGTTTGAATGGTGTCTGAACTTTTTTGTGTGATTAAACTATGTTGATATTTTGCCTGCTGGACTGCAAATTAAATAGTAGCCCGGGGCAATCAGGGAACAAAGATCTGGAGCCCCGAGGCTTTTCTCGGCTTGATATGTAATCTTGTCTAGTTGGCACTGAAACAGTCGCTGGAGTTTGAGGGTCAGCCCATCCAGACTTTGCTTTCCACAAAGCACACTCTTCACATTGGAAGCCTTCTCCATTGACCCGCTATTGCTCAAAGTCATACCTCCTATATTTCTACATCAATTTCTGCATCCTGGATTTTTTTTTTTGCTTCAAGGTGCCACGGCAGATAGAGGAATTAAATCTAAGCCACTGGGTGTTTTAAAGTGATTATACAGAAATCAATGGGGTGTCCTTAGGGTGTTGAGAAACTGGAGCCAGGACCGCGTGAGTCTGAGCTCAAGGGTACATGGCAATCTGGCGCCTCACTTTCTTTGAAGTGATTTTACTGACTTTCTGTGTGGAGGCTCTAGGTTAGGTTAGATTATCTCTCTTTCTTCTATGGCACTTATTAACACTTCTGAGCAACGGAGCATTTCCCCAATCCTCACTACCCGTCCAGGCTGACGGGGAGTCAAAGTTCATTTTATGTGAGTGGAGAATTTGTCCCATCAGAGCCAGCAGTTGAGCAGACATTTCCTCAAGACAGCAAGCTCAGTAAGTCTCTTGTAAAACACACAACATCACCACATATTCGACTGTTTCCCACAGGACGTCTGTCAACAAAACATATCGTTTTGAGTTAAGCCGATCTTCTTACTTCTGCAGGCCAATTGACAAACCAGACACACTCTTTAACGTCCCTGGTGGAAACACGAAAAATAAATAAATAAATAAATAATACAAGTATGAAGTTTTAAGTATTAAGTTTGAAGTTATGTGCCTTATACGCACAACATAACCCACAACTAACACATCAACTAAGATATCGCCAAGGTCTTTCGTAAGCATTTTGAATGAGTGAACACATGAAAAAACAAGTAGATAAATAAAAACGCACCAAAGTGCCCTTGGGACAAAATTATGATACAATAGTTCAAAAAGCCAAAAGGGATTATTAAATTGTTGGGGAATGGAAAAGAGGGGAGAGTCTTCGAAAAGTCTTTGATGTTTCAGGAAGTATTGTGAGGGCTGTATTGTTACTGAGGCACAGGGGAACTGCAGTGTGTGAGGAGCTGACCTTTATAAGTGGACGGATTTAACAGAGGAGAGAGAAGAAAAGAAACCAGCTTACCACCTACACAAACACACACAAATGGAAACACAGAAAACAACAGCGCCAAGCATCTGCTGCACCGACAGACCACCTTTAATCTGATGTGAAATGTTGGTAAAAAACCTAAAAACATTTCAGTGAGAGCGAGAAAGTGCTGGGGAAGAGATAAATGGTGCTGCCTTTGCTTTCTGGGCTGAAAGGTGCAGATAAGTGAGTGTGCTTCTTCAGACAACTCTTACACAATTAGCACAGTCTGCACTGGGCAGAAAAAAATCCACAAATGTAAAAATCGAGTTGCAGCATTTACATCTAGCAAATTCTGTCCATCACTTGTAGTTTGTATATCAGTTTAAGAGAATGTATTTCTACCCAGAGGGCAAATACACTATACTGTATATATATGTACAGTGTATATTTACAGACGTACCATCTTTTTTTTTTTGTTTAGCTTATGCCTTTAGTTAAATAATGCTTCAAACATCTATTGTTCCAATCTCTCCATATCAGAAAGTATCTACTGATATTATATCCTCCAGATTCCCAACATAATTATCAACTACAAATAAAGGGCCAAGAGTGCTACAGATTTTTCCCAAAGGATATGTCAACTCACAACCCTTGCTTGGAGGTTTACATGAACCATTAGGCTGTCAAAAAAGTACACTTTGCGACTGAGTATGATCTTTTTCTTCTTGCAGGACCTGTACAGGAAAGACTGCAACCTGGCAGCCCAGCTGCTGCAGTGCTCCAAGTCACACTACAGAGCACACAAGCTGTCGGAGGTGAGCTCGCCCGCGCTTCAGTCTGGATTCACACTGCGACAAAAAGCTTTCCAGACCCGGGCTTTAATATCAAGTTTAGACAGTTCGAGAGGAGTTTGAAATGTTTCTAATGAACATGATCAGCATTTCAATTTTTTTGTAAACGAATGTGAAACTCCAGATGCATATTGGTGAAAGGGAGAGAGTGTTGCAGTGCCATTAAAAGCATCAGAAAGCGGTTTTAATAGTAAAAGTTAGGCATGGAGCTCATGACCTCTCCTGTCAGGGATTATGGTCTGCTGTCTGAAGTGCCTGCTGTGCATGATGATTGAATGAATGGCTGGATGAATGAATGCATGACTGAATTAATTGAATGCGGATTTGATAGTATCTGATGAAAATATTTCTCAGAAATATCGCTTGATCTACATATAAATATTTTTAAACTGTTTACATTGAATGTTATTATAGAAAGAAAAGTGATTATGTTTCCATTTGTTCTTATTGTTCTAAGTCTTTTATGAAGTTATATTTGACGGAATAAAGATCTAACTGCATGTTTGCTGATAATGTTATGTTATGTAATCACATGCAGAAAAGACACTCATAGCCAATGCGTGGCTCTAGACTTTGTGCATATAAACTGGTTTGAAAAGTCTTCAAACTGATTCCTTTTTTGCATATTTTGTTGCCTTACCATCTGAAATTAAAATGTTTTAGAGAGGGTTGTTTAAATGGCTAAAAATGAGGAAAAAAACCCGACACCAAGACTAAAGAAAAAAAAAAGAAGCATGTGTATAACGCCCATCCAAAAATCAATACTTTTTAGAGGTCTCTTTTGCACCAATTACAGTTGAAGGATTATGTCTGCAAGAGCGTAACACATCTAACCACCAGATTTTCTGCCTGCTCCTCAAATCCGATTCAGATCCTGATTGAAGACTTCAAAGCAAATAGAGTGAACACAAATGCTTGCATTAATCTTTTATTCTTCATTTCTAAGAAAACTTAAGGAGAGATAACATCAAAAAAATATTTTGTGTTGCTCATGTAGGAAAAGACATTTATGTAGCAAAAATGAAAAATGCAAAACAGAGAACAAAACATCTTATATCTGTACGGCACTGGAAGAGATTGAGAAGAGCACAAAACGACCCTATAGCATCATTAAATTTTTCAGCTTACAGAATCAAATTTCTCTTTAAATGAATTAGTCTTTTGTTCGCAGAAAGAAGTTTTTTATTCACTCAGATTAAATTGCTTGCATGTCAAAATACATTTTACTTTTGAAAAAGAATTGTTTAACTGCAAATGAAAATTAATTTAGTCTCCTCTCACCCAATAAAAGCTGGGATTTGGCCCAGCCCCACTGAAACCTTACTATGAATAGGCAGTGTAGAAAATTGATGGGTGGATGGGTTGTCTTTGGGGGGGGCGAGGGGGGAGTTGGAGTAGTTGCTCAAGCAAGCTATTTTTTTTGTATTTTTCTAAATACAATATCAGTGTAATTTCACATTGAGTAAGAATGTAAACTATGTGACCGTTAATATTCGACTCAAATACTGTCTAACTCTGACCTGGCTTACTTACAGTACACACTGTGTGTTTCTTATTCCCTCCTCCCTCGTTTAATTTCCATCTCCGTTTCCTTCTGGAGGGGCAACAGCTTCTAAAAATAGCTCTGCCTTAAAATATGCAGCTTTTATGTTGAGGTGAGTTTCTATTTCTTAACAAAGCCAAGTCAGTACGTCATCTGTTTTTTTTTTTGCGATGCCCAGCTGGCTACCCAGAGAATTTGCTTAATTTGAATCGTAGCAGCTCCCTTAGGATCTAGTTTGTGTTTGACTGTAGAGAGAAAAAGAGACACTGAGAAAATGTCTGACTTAAAGAGAGGGAATGAGGGCTTGTTGGTGGGGAGGCACTGGTGCAGGAAGGAGATGAAAGGGTAGAGTTAGGGAGGAGGGGAAAGAGCTTGGTGTAGCATAAGTTTCTTCTGACCCTGAGCAACTTTGATTAGCACAAAATACACACACACAGTTTGATATTTACAGGAACAGAACAAAAGCATTTTGGTTTTGTCCCTTTTGTCTTCGTGACAGATCTTAAGACTTGGCAATAAGACAAAAACAGAAAATTTGATGATTTTGAATGATAAAATATACAACAAAGTGTGAAAAATGTAGACTATTCCCATGAGCCGATCTGTGAGCTTGGTGATACTGATTTAATTTTTTATTAAATTCTTTGTAAACCCTCATAAAAACTAAGTCAATATTGAGAAGAAAAAATGAATGTGTTTGTGGAAGAAGTTGAGTAAGGCAACTCCATCCTCATTGTTTCTTCAGCTGTTTGTCTCTTCTTTTTCTTAGTTACCACCAGACTTCCAAGAGCGCATCAGTTCCCATATGGAGAAACAAAACCGGGGTAGAGGAGCCACCATGGCAATGTGCTACCCCAGTTACCCCGAAGCGGTGCCCACAACCATTATTGCCAAGGTCCTGGAAAAGCCAGAACCAGGGAGCAGCTGCCCTGTGACCCGCTCGCCGAGCCCTCTGCCCCAGGACAGAGACTTTCTGACAGGGACAGGGAGCACTGACCACCTAAACCGCCGCATTTCATGCAAGTCCTCTGACCTGTACTGTAGTGACACGGCTCTCTATTGCCCCGAGCGATGGCAGGACACGGAGCGCAGGCAGAGTGCTGACCTCCATGGCACTGGCCTGCCACAGCTCCACTCTCAAAACTCCGTAGAGAGTAACCCAGATGAAGATCCTTTCCAGTCTGGAAACTTCTCCCACCACGAGGGCTCGCCCTCCTTCCACCACCATAATGAATTTGGTACTGGTAGTCTCCCTGCCTCCAGTTCCTACTCCAGCTTCAGCCTTGCATCGGATGACAAGGGAGCAGTTAGTGGTGGATGTGGGCCTACCGCCAACAGCACCTTATCATCTTCCCACCAGGGTCTATATATGGACTGGAGGAACGGTGGCAGTGGAGACTATGAGCGCAAAAGTATGTCCTCATACGACAAAGACAGCCCAGGTTTTTCCAAGGCTCACAGCATCCAGCACATGGTGACCTCCAGAAGCCCGCAGAAGGGGACTTCAACGGCGTATACGAGGACGGGCTCATGCTTCAGCGAGCCGTACCACTCCAGCGCCCCGCGCCTCGCCTCCTCCCACAGCGCCGGTTCCACGACTGGACTGAGCCAAGCTCACGGAAGAGCTCTGGACAGCCGAGGTAACATGCAAGTCCCCGAAGACGACCTGAGCAACAGCTGGAGGCAGCTCAGCGTGGAGGACATCAACACCTTCTCGTCGTCCTACCACAACATCGCGGGGCGGACGTCTCCGTACAGTTTCTCTGAGCGCCAGTTCGCCATGGGTCCGTCCAGCAAAGTCAAGGAGTCCCTCTACAGCAGCTTCCAGGAAGGAGATGACGTCTTCCACAGCCGTTTGCTGGACCAGTGCTTTGCGATGGGCTCCCCTTCGCCAAGTCGCAGCCCTAAACCGAAGGAGCATCTCCAGCAGGAGAAAGCCTCTCTCATGTACAGAACCACGGATGACAGTCAAGACTCCGAGTGCAGTCTGTTCCTCTCAGGGAGCTCTAAAGGCAAGGAGGGCGGCGGGGGAGCGACGGCTACAAGCAGTGCCAAGAAGGACTACGCAAACCTGAGCGCAGACAGCTCAGCGGAGTCCTTACACCAAAGCTCGCTGGAAGCGTCAAGCCTTCAGCACTACCCGAGCACCAGGCCGAGCTCCAGGCAGAACGTCCGGCCGCGTCCGAGCTCCAGCTCCGCTCTCAACGTCGGCCCCGCGCTCCCAAAGAAGACCTCTCCAAGATACCAAAAATTCGGCAGCACGGGGCTGACGAGGAAGGACAGTTTGACCAAGGCGCAGCTATACGGGACGCTTCTCAACTGAGCGGTGACGGAGTTCTTCATTTTATGCATGATGATGATGATTCTTGACTTACTGTACTGTACTGCATCATGTCTCCCTGCAGCAAACATGTACTCGTGATGGGATGTTAAGATGTTGTTGTTTTTCTGTATCTTAGCCAAGGCACGTTTCATGCAGTCCGCAACATTTTTATGTGAGTCTTGACACAGTGTAGCTACCTGATACCAGCTATTAAGTATGTTTTTGTTTCAGTAAGACACACGTTAGGATTAAAACCACGAGTCTGGCTAATGGTTCAATTTTGGTGTTGAGCACTGTTAACAAAACCAGCACAAGACCATTGATGGTAGACTACAGCATGTGTACTGATGTGGTTCATCATCGGTGGACCATTTGATACAAAGATTTATCCATTTTCCATTTAAAAAAAGCATGCATATATTATATAAGACAGGAAGATGCAGTTGAGACTTATTTATCTATAAGGCTCACATATAGGAATGAAAGATTTTCAAACTCTTTCAACAACACAAATGGCATATTCACACACAGACACACACACATATAGTACAGTATGGTAAAATATAACAATGTCAACCATATGAATCATATATAAAGTAATGCTAAGAAATGAAATAGTGAGAAAATCCTAAAATAATATGACCTTAAACAAAACTATGTACACAGATAGTACAAATGTCTACAGAATGCACTGTCAATTGAAAGATGAAAAAAAAACACGTTTTTTTTATATTTTACAAAGCTAGAGTTTTTCACATTTTTGTATCAAAGTGAGTAGATGAAGTTGGGGGTTGTACTGCACTGTAGAACCAGGACACTTGTGAAGTTGCCTTAAATCTGTTCAGTGGGCAGAACGGTCTCCTTTACGGCATCTGTGTACATAATGTATATCTGAAGTATTGTTTCTGTCTATAAACATTAATATAAAAAAGTGTATCCTATCTGGTTAGGTAAACAAAGAAACACACTTGCACAAATTAGTTTCTCAAATAATTAACCCTGTTTTCATAGAGAATTTTTTTTTTGTGATTTGCTTCAGAAAAAGGTGTTCTTAAACCAATATATCAAACACTTGCTGCCAAATTTCCACATTAAATCACTGCTGGCAGCAGACGCGCTACAAAAAAATGCTGGTTTCTCCAGTTATGTGAGATTAACAGAAAATTGCTCAATGCAAATATATGTAAAGAATGTGTAAAATATGCACTCAATGTGTTTTCTAAAACCAGCATGCTCACTAAGGATTTTCAGTGAAAATTTCACGAAAACAGTGAAAAGCGTCTTAATACTTTAAATTAGCGGAGGATTAGTGGTGAATTGAAAATAAATAAATAAAATGAGGAACAAAAGAGACGTTATCCTGCTGCCAAACTATCGTGCGACCATCTGTTACTCTCACACTGGAGGGAGCAAAATGCCAAAAGCCCAACATCTGTTCTAGCAAACCTATCTTTGTGCCTGTGTGGCTCCATAGTTTCAAAAGACTGGCAACAGGCATCGTGTTATTAACAGGAACGCAGCCTCGTTTTTTCTTCATGATGGACTGATTTCATTTCGGGATGCCATTATTCTACCTCTCCCATTCCTGCAAATCTCAGACCCGACTTAATGCTGTTTTGACACTGTAAGAGAGAAACTGCACATTGAACGCATCAAAAAGCCTCCAGTCATTTGTTAAATTGGTATGTTGAGGGACTACCAGGATGAAGTAGGATAAGAATCGATTGTAGTGGCTGTACAGAGGGGATTGTTAATTTTTGTTGCGGACCTTTATAAAATGAGATGATCCATATACAGTTCTTATGTCTATTTTTATCTAGTTTCAGTTGATGTGATATTGATAGAGTGATTTGACCCTGAAGGATGAAGCTGAAGTGGTTCTGTCCTGCTCTACCTCCAGCCCTGTACCAGGACCAGCAGGCCAGCTGTCTCTGTGTTCACATGTTTGTTTGTCTGATGCATGGTTGTATATTTTTTGCTGTATGTTCATTTACTTAATAAAGATAGGTGTTGGGAAATACATTT